TTGACGGTCTGGTCTTGAGACCCTGTGATGAGGAATGAAGGAGGATGGTTAAGGGGGTCTAACCGAGCTGGCGAGGATTCTGGAGGTACTCCCTTGGGCAACGCAACAGCACCCAATGATTCAGCATGACCGGAGAAAACAGCCCAGCAGATATAGGAGTTGTTTGTTGGATCGACACGCCAGAGACGGGCGGTGTTGTCTTTCGCTCCAGTAGCAATCCAGTGGCCTGACCAGTCGATATCCAGTGAGATGACAATTTCGTCGTGACCCTTCAGCAGAGCAACATCTTGACCAAAGTAGGGGTTTGAATTCGAATCCCAGTCGGCGTCCCCTTTTTGAGCCTCGATGACTGAGACGATCCTGATATCCTCCGAGTTTGTGGCCAAAGCAACCATCGAGCGGTCCGGAAGCAAATATCCGAGATCGATTATGTCGTCATGTGTGCCTGATATCCTTCGGAAGGGTTCTGGAGCAGGGAGGGAGGTGGTCTCTGCCTTTCGGGGAGGTTTATATAGTGCAAGAGTATGGTCGACCTGGACAAGAAGAATAAAAGGGAGACCAGGGCGGTAAGTACCGGACACAATGCCTTCCTCTTCACTTTTCGCAGATTGCTGGGGAGTGATTTCCTTGCCCATATCCGTATCCCAGATGCGGAGAGAACCATTGGCACCAGCGGAGTAAGTCAAGCTTCCATTTTCGATAAAGCCAGCCGTTTCGACCAGTTCGAGGCAAGGAACAACTTTGCGAATCTTCCAGGATCTGGCGTCCCACCAAGTTATGGTCTTGTCTCTGCCTGCGGTAACAAGAGCGTTTTGTTCTGGGGAGTAGTCAAGACCTTGGACGTCCGAGACGTGCGATTCCAGATTGGCTATACAACTACGCTTGTGCAGGTCCCATACACGGACCTTTCCATCTTGTTGGCCGCATGACAGCCGGAAGTTGATAGTGCTTGAGTCCACCTCTTCTTCATCGGGCTCTTCTTGGCACTTGCTTTTCATGCCCTTCCCTGAATGACTGTCGCTCGGCCGAGCGGCAGCTTCGAAGAACAAAAGCGCTGATACCAAAACAGAGGACCCACGGAAAGTGTGTGTAACAAAGCCACCGATGATATCCCAAACTTTGACAGCTCCATCGGTTCCTCCAGTGGCCAACAGCGTGCTGGTCCGATCTACTGCCAGAACGACGACTGGGGTAGTGTGCGCCTTCGCTGTCCTTGTTAGTGTAGCGTCAATAGTTCCGTCTTCTTGCGACACTCTCAAGGTGTATATTCTCATTGACAAAGAGCGGGAGCATATGATAAGGTGAGATCCAGAGGGCGTTACTATAATCAGTATTAGTTGCTTGCACGTTTGAGCGATCTTTGGAGACTAACAAGTTAATGTTGAAATGAGCTCTCCATCCTGAGAAAGTCAGTCACGGTCTAATGTGATTTGCACGTGGTCCTTACACCCTCGATTTGAGCCAAATGCTTCCCGTTTGTAGGATCTGTGAGAACTGCATCCTCGCCGAGAACAGTGGCTAGAATACGTGCGCTGTTGTCAATAGCCACTGACCCCCCTGTGAATATGGGGCGTATGACATGGTTTACGTCAAACGTGGTCTTCAACGGCTGCTTATTTGCCATTGTATTGTTGTGATTCTGAGTTAACAAATATTCAATGTAAAGAACATCATGGTCCGCGCGCATGAGGTTTCCTGTAATTTTTTTTTGGCGCCTTATCAGAGACATACATTTGATTGGCTATCGGGTACATTAGCTCATCTACACCAGCCACATGAAACGCCACATTTTCGTTCATCGGGTTAGCCGTCATGACTTCCTTTGAACGACCGCCGTAATCCATTGCAGCCAAGGTAAATTCATTCAGCAGATCGTTGATACGCAGGGAGAGCTCACGTACAGAGCTTATAGGGCGACGGCGACTCCAGCCATACCATAAACTGTACATGAAGCAACTCATGTCCGCCTTGTGTTGATGAGTGCTTACCTACCTTCATCATGGGAATGCAGGGCCCTTTAACTGCCCAAGCGCTTGTAAGACATCCTGTAGCCCCAGCCCTCGATTGTTGCTATCGAATTACTGACACTGTCAGGGCCGGTCTCCTTATGACGATGTTGTTGAATGGGATGATGATCATGACCAGCCACCAAATACCAATGACTCTGGCCAACAATATGACCATCGCGGCCGTCCCATCAACACTGAAACGAAAAGAATCAACAGAGACATCATTCGTTCCCATAATGAAGTTATGCTAGTCATTGGCGTCGCTGAGCAAGAGAGTTCGACTACAAATCCAGAGGCCGAGTCTGATAAACGTCATGCCATGTATGAGGATGACATGGGCACAAACCTTGCCTTCTCGGCCCTTCGTTGCGTGGACGCTGCCGGTGCCTTTGGGCTAGATGGCTTCCGTCAGCGAGTCTTGGTATGTTGTTGAAAACCCTTTCTGTTCTTTATGCTAACTAGGTGCCTTACCATGGCAGATTTTCAAACGCTATTCTCACATCCCGTTTTGGGATTTGTATGCACAGTCCCGAAGTACCTTTTCCATCTCCCAAGATCTTCTGCCTGGTGCTTCCGTAAATCTTTTCAGTAATTACATCGACCGACAAATTGCTCTATTGTGGCGCGACAGGCCCGACAGGGTGTTTGCTCGTCGAATGTAAGCCTCTCCCCAATGCCAGTTATTAACCTTCACGGCTTACAAGCAATAGCGCCCATGAAGTCTGGTCATACGTTCGGGTTCATCTAGAGCTATATATTGCTCTGCAACGGCTTGGCCTAGCCTCAAGCACTAACTGGCTCCCAAGCCTATCCTTCTTCGTCCCATTTACTCAAGATTCACCAATTCCAGCTCCCCCACCAGCCAAGGATCTTTCTTTCCAGTCTCTTTTACAGTGGGTTGGAGGCTTGTGTATATGTTCGACGCCGTTCCTCGTCTGGGTAATGTCCCAGAGACTGATCCGTGACTGGAGACCCCAAATTTGGGCGAGAGTATTTCGGTGGTTACCGAACACTGGTTCTCTCCCTGGCGTGACTAACAGCTGGATGCAAGCCGACAGGTCTGGTGACAGATCAGAGCACCGGCGTGCTCGGAGCACAATCGACGATGTGTCGCCAATACGGCCGATAGACGGACAAATGCCCAACGATACAGGTCCAGTAGAAGCTGTCCGGCGGCCAAGTACTTTCTCAGCGCGTGGGGATGACTATGCAACTGACGAAGAAGATAATGAAGGGTTTAGTGCCACCTTGATCAGCTTCGATGTCGAAGCCACTGCTGAAACCAGCGAAGCACCTCCTGGACTCTGGAGCGCCGAACTAAGACCAAGTGTTGAAGCAAGGGGAGCACTTATGCCTACAACCACCTACTGCGATACGATGCTGACGCAGCTGCCCCCTTTGATTGCCTCACATATCTTTACTGATGCCGTTTTGAGATTGGTGACTGCACCGTGGGAAGCAACCGCTCTGCGGTTGATGGCGCATAGTCTCCGCCAACGGTTTAATCTCCCAACTCATGACGTTTGCGAAATTAATCTTCTCAGTCATCTCGATTTGACATTCGCTATCAACTTTCTCGGCACTCAAGTGCTGCATTTAGCTTTGTGCGGAGAGATTTGGGCAGCCTTCACGACAGTGGCCACAGTTTTACACACAACCCCTGACGAGTGGCGGGAAGCCGACGCCGAGGAGCAGGAGAAAGGACAAGATTGGACAGATGAGACTATTTAACCAAGGCCCGATAACCCCAGGTTTTCATACCACACAGCATATATCAGAATGCGCCTGTCCAATATGAACGATTTGACCATGGATTCCATATGTTTAGTCAACACTGCGTAGTTTCAACATTGACTTACTTGCGTTCTTTGATGCTCTCAACCAGGATCTTCTTGACCTATAAGGGGAACAGGCTTGGCATTGGACGGGTTGCTTTGTCCTAATCGTTACAGTCAAGCCGTGCAAAACGTGTGTCATGAAAAGATAAGTTGAATAATTGCATGAGAGATTGCGTTGCAGCCTCGAACCGGCTCAGAAACCATGATGCATCAAGGCTGTTTCAGAACAACTTCCATGCCAGACTAAAGGTCTATGTGACTGGCTGAACAACCCGTTTTGATGCGCTGCATAGTAGAGATGCACGCAGAGCTCAGATACCGGGAGATGGGCCTTAAATATGGATGTATTGTCGAGGGAACGTTGCGATCTGATGAGTCGCAAGTAGTCCCATATTATCGTCTAATATGTTTGCGTTGCAGCTAGGATATACACAGCAGTATAATGTTGAATTCATCATACCTTTCTTAGATTATTATCAGGTCCAATTCCTCCAATCTGCCCATGTTGTGGAGTTACCGTTATAAGTATTGATTGTAAATTTGTTCAGCACATCGATCCTAAACGATAAAAGACTTGGGTAATCTAGAATAAGCTTAGGATAAGTTTAGGATACCTTTTGCTGGGTTATCTTGACACCCTATATTAAAGTCTTATACTTTCTTGCTCCCGAGGGACTGGGAGGAACAAAGCGTAGGTAAGTTCCAGGGAGGTCCAGTGAGTGGTCTTCGGAGGGTTATATATGACTAGAATATTCGATTGTGATTCAAGGACAGATAGTCAAAGGAAAGTGATGCAATTTGTATCACTTAGAAATTGGGGTGCTTCTAACTCAATCGTACTCAATAGTAGACGAGTACCAAAGCTAGCACAATAACATGAGGCAGATGCGGTACAGGTTATCCATACAATACTTATTAATTTCCTTGTCATAGATCCCGGTTTAAAATTCATGTCTTAGTTAGCCTTGTACAGTAGCTTCAGCGTCATTTCTTGCCCCTCATGATCATGGATGTTACCCCCACCTTGACTCTTTTTGAAGATGACATTTCAACTGCCACTTCAATTTCCAAACCAACCTTATTAGCAACCACCCGAATCCTATAAATGAAAAATCACTTCAAGGATATCAACTGTCCTGCAAATTATTGAGCAATGTCTGAGCGCACTGTCCTTATCACCGGCGCTACCGGCCTCCTGGGTCGTGAGGTCGCTACAACGTTCGGCCTCAAGAACTGGAATGTCAAAGGCACGGGCTATTCTCGTGCAGATGGAATCAACAATTTCAAGGTCAATTTAAGCAATGAGACGGAAGTGGGAGAGTTTCTGGATGAGACCAAGTTTGCAGACCCTTCCCTCTATGGATGCTATGCCAGTAGACTGACATTGCTACCTACCTTCAGACCACAGGTTATTGTCCATTGTAAGCTACCTGGTATGTTTCATTCGTACGGAGACAGAGACTAATCAATTACACGCGAAAGGTGCTGCTCAACGGTTCCCAGACAAGGTCGATAAAAACCCCGAAGGTGCCCGTGAACTCAACGTCGCTGCGAGCAAGGCACTCGCTAAGCTGGCCGCGGATAGAGACATCTTTGTCATATATATATCAACCGACTACGTGTTCCCTGGCACGCCGGGGGATGCTCCATATGAAGCCGACGCCAAGCCTCAACCGACCAATCTTTATGGCCAAACGAAGCTGGATGGTGAGCGAGCCGTCTTAGACACGCTGAAGCTGGTTGGAAAGGAGGGCCTAGGTGTCGTTCTTCGAGTTCCTGTCCTTTATGGGAACGCTGAAACGCCAGCCGAGAGTGCGGTCAATGTTCTTATGGATGCACTATGGAAGGCACAGACACAGGGAGCTGAAATTAGCATGGACCACTGGGCAATTCGCTATCCTACGAACACAGAAGACATCGGTAGGGTCTGCCACGGTAGGTCTCACCCTACTTTTAGCCACCAGGTTTCAGAACCACGGTGTCATTTGGACAAGTCTTGCCAAAACTCTTTGAAGGTAAACAAGTGCGCAACAAGATTTCGCTGATATTAAGCACAGATATTTCCGTCAAGTACCTCGACACTCCAACTGAGGAGCGATCTTGTCTTCCTCAAATTCTCCAGTTTTCCTCTGAGGATCGAATGACGAAGTATGAGATAGTGACACTATTTGCTGAGATAATGGGCCTGTCAACGGAAGGGATTAAGCCCAACACGGAAGGGAATGACCCAAATGCCAGTGTGCAGCGACCTTACGACTGCCACTTGAGTACAAAGGCACTGAAAGATCTGGGAATTGATGTTTCAACCTGCGACTTCAAAGGCTGGTGGAGACGTGAGGTTCGCGCATTTCGCAAGTAATAGGGAGCACCGCCAGCAGGGATCTCTGCATTCCGGTGTGGGATATGTAGTCTCAAGAGCAAAAGTTTCGGATGAGACCAAGGGTGCCCTTGAGTCGTGCTTGGTGGAAAAAGGGAGGATGTCTTGGATGTAGAAAATGGCTGAAGACACGACGTATGAAGAAACCAGACCACCAAACTATCACTTCATTATTTCATTCGTTGAACTAAAGAATGATAAAAGAAGACTATGGAAAAGTCACGGCTTGGTCATGATTTTGCCAGATCATAGGAAGATATCAACTCAGCACGTTTCTGTTCGTTGGGAACTCTTTCGGGGAACACCTAATTATCTACCCAGGTAGTCAGTGTTTAAAACATGTTTTGTCCGCCGCAGAAGGTATTTTCGAATCCTGCTGGCAGCAGCAGCAGCTACATAGTGCAAGGGGAGTTGTATGTCTCAATAAATTAGCTAGGTACCTAAATAGGCACCTGGTTAAGGTAGAGAGCTGGCTATTACTCGGTCGTGAGCTACGGTGTCTAAAAGCGCTATCTTCATTTGAATCAGTTTT